GGCTCTCCGGCCGGACGGCGCTGACGGGGCCGGTGGGTGTGAAGATGAGCTGGGGGGAGAGGGGAGGGTGGGTGCGTGACCCCCAGTTTGGGGGGTGTGTGGGGGGGTCACCCCACGTGTGCCCCCCACCCCCTGGCCCTACAGAGCGGCACACGGGTAGGGTGTGGGGTGGGGTGACACGTGTGTGTCCCTACACATGTCCCCAGGGACCTCCGGTGGCAGGAGGGGTGCAAGGGGGGGCACCCTATGGGGTCCTGACACCCCCCACCCTCTTTGGCACCCCCCAACGGGGCTGTGGGTGCCATGTGGGGTCTGGGTGCCCCACAGCAGGGTGATGGGCACCCTCCAGGGACAGGGACCCTATGGGGCCTGGCCACCCCACAGTGGGGACCCTTGGGTGCTGGCCACCCCACAACGGGACAACTGGCACCCTATAGGTCCTGGCCACCCCTCAGCAGGATGACGGGCACCCTATGGGTCCCAGGCACCCCACAGCAGAGCAGTGGGCACTCTATAGGGTCAGGGAACATATAAGGACCCAGCCACCCCATGGCAGGACCACAGGCACCCCATGGGTCCTGGCCACCCTCCTGTGGGATGACGGGCACCTATGGGGTGGGTTCCTGCCACCCATAGCTGGACAATGGGCACCCTACAAGTCCCAGCCACCCCACAGCAGGACAATGGGCATCCCATGGATCCTGGCCACCCCGCTGTGGGATGACGGGCACCCATGGGTCCCTGTCACCCCACAGAGGGACAACAGGCACCTTATGACTCCCAGCCACCCCCCAGCAGGATGACGGGCACCCCACAGGTCTCTGTCACCCTACAGCGGGTCGATGGGCACCCTCTGAGTCCCACTCACCCTGCAGCAGAGCGACGGACACCCAGTGGGTCCCTGTCACCTTATGGCGGGATGATGGGCACCCCACAAGTTTCAGCCACCCCACAGCGGGATGATGGGCACCCTACAAGTCCTGGCCACCCCACAGTGGGATGATGGGCCCTCAATGTACCCCTGCCACCCCACAGCAAGACAATGGGCTCCTTATGGGTCCTGGCCACCCCACAGCAGGACGAGAGGCACCCTGTGGGTCCTGGCCACCCCACAGCTGGAGAAGCGGCACCTTATGGCTCTTGGCCACCCCACAGCTGGAGAAGCGGCACCTTATGGCTCTTGGCCACCCCACAGCAGGATGATGGGCCCTCAATGTGTCCCTGCCACCCCACAGCACGACAATGGGCTCCTTATGGGTCCTGGCCACTCCACAAGTTTCAGCCACCCTGCTGTGGGACAATGAGCACCCTGTGGGTCCTGGCCACCCCACAGCTGGAAAAGCGGCACCTTATGACTCTTGGCCACCCCACAGCAGGATGATGGGCCCTCAATGTGTCCCTGCCACCCCACAGCAAGACAATGGGCACCCTATGGGTCCTGGCTGCCCTACAGCAGGATGATGGGCACTCCACAAGTTTCAGCCACCCTGCTGTGGGACAACCCTGCCACCCCACAGCAGGATGATGGGTGCCCATGGATCCCAGCCACCCCACACCCAGAAAACAGGCACCTTATGACTCCTGGCCACCCCACGGCAGGATGATGGGTGCCCCACAGGTCCATGTTGCCCTACAGCGGGATGACGAGCACCCCACAGTGCCTGGCCACCCCACAGCAGGACGACAGACACCCTATGAGTCCTGGCCACCCCACAGCAGGATGATGGGCACCCCACAGGTCCCTGTTGCCCTACAGTGGGATGATGGGCACCCCACAGTGCCTCGCCACCCCACAGCAGGATGATGGACACCCCACAAGTTTCAGCCACCCCGTTGTGGGACAACCCCTGCCACCCCATAGCAGGATGACAGGCACCCTACAAGTCCTGGCCACCCCACAGCAGGCCGATGGGTGCCCATGGATCCCAGCCACCCCACAGCTGGAAAAGCGGCACCTTATGACTCCTGGCCACCCCACGGCTGGAAAACGGGCACCCCACGGATCCCGTCCCCCCACAAGCGCCGTGGGGCAGGTGACAGGTGCGATGTCGGCCCCTTACCATCTGTGCCCGCAGGTACATCTGTGCCTGGCTGGCGGTGAGGGCGGGCGAGGCGGCGTTGCCCAGCAGCACGGCCTGCTGCGCGATGCCCGAGGCGCCGGGGGCCACGCTCTGCGCACGGTTCAGGAGCTGCGCCGCCGCCGGGGACGTCGCCAGGTTGATCTGCACAACAATCATAGAATCATCGTCTAGGTTGGAAGAGACCCTTGGGATCATCGAGTCCAACCATCTCCCCTACTCTACAAAGTCCTCCCCTACACCATGTCCCTCAGCACTGCATCTAAACGGCCCTTAAACACACCCAGGGATGGGGACTCCACCCCCTCCCTGGGCAGCCTGTTCCAATGCCCGACCACTCTTT